AAGTGAATGGTTCATGCTCTCGGTTCACAAATGTAATCTGTCAGGTGAGCACCACAGCAGCTTAGTTGTCTTTTTGCTTTCTTATGATTAGTAATGTTTTAATTATTCATCTATGACAAAATTTTCAAGTACAATGAAATGTGGGAAATACTTTGTTTATACCAACAGTAATTTATTTTATGGCAAATTTTAAGACTATAGATGCACACAGCTTTGAGTCAGCATAAGTGTAGTGCTATAAATAAAGCAAATTGCTCCATAAGTTTGTCAATTTTATTTTATAATGTTTTTAGTGAAAACTTATAGGACTTTGTAGTTGGCATTGAAGTTTGCCTAAAGACACTTTCATATTGAATTTAGTATCTGTTGACATTTATTTGGAATAATGAATGAGTTTGAAAATCAATACTTTTCTAAATGATTTTATTGGAAAGACACATCATTTCTAGTAATTTCCTTTCTATTGTTGCTGATGCTCCTGTGCAAAGGTGTCTTCCAGGTTCAGTTTTTGCAGCTGAACTGTGGTTTTGATTTTAATATTCTTTATTTGAAATGTGATTACATACTGTATGGTTCGAATTTTTTATGACTGCTTTTCCAATTACAGTGACATTTTCTTACTTTATAAACAAATCCAAAGCAAATGAAAACATTATTCCAACTCTAGAATCAATATTCAGTTTATACAGAAAACACAACTCTCAGACTTGTCTTTAATGTGATTCAGCCTTTGTGTTGTTTTAATTACTGTTAGAATAAAACTATCTTTTGTAACGTTTCAGAAAGTTCGTAAAAGCAATAAACAATCTCTGGACTCTCTTCGGGCCGCCGCTGTTTTCATTGCCCCTGGGGCGGGCCGGGCCGGGGCTTCCCCGTGCCCATGGCAACGGCGCCGGGCGGAAGCAGTGCCAGGGAGTCGCGGCACCGCGCAGCACGGCGGCTCGCCATTGGCCGGCGGGCCAAGAAGAGGGGAGGCGATTGGCTGAGGCGTCCGGTCCCGGCCGAGCGAGCGTCGCTGTAGCCAGGCCGCGGAGGGGCGGGGGAGGCGGGGACACGCAGGGGTAAGGACGGCGAGTGCCGGCAGGGAAAGGGAAGGGAAGGCGAGGCCGTGTCCCCATCCTCCTCGCACTCCGCTTAATGACGTGCGCCGCAGCCCCGCTCCTTCACCGGCTCTGCGCTTTCAGCAGGCATTGAACAGTCTCGTCATTCCCGGAGGCTCTAAGGAATGGCCGTATAATTCCCAATAAAGGTCTGCTTGGTACCGAGAGTGGAGGGGTGAACTTCAAAGAGCTAGTGTTAATCTCGAGTTAATATTGAAATTGAACTGAGCTGCTGACTAGACCCAGAAATCCCCTATTGTTTTATCTTTTTTCTTCTTACATATATGAGCTGCTGTTTAACGAGATGGATTTAGGCAAACTCGGCAGAGGAAAAATACGCTCTGGAAATTACCCAAGAGACTGACATTTGGTGGATCCAGCAATCTGAGAATAGGCCTGGCCGTTTATGGAATGAGGGTGGTACACAGGAAAAACAAACAAACAAACAAAACCAAAAGACAATCCCAAAACAAAACATCAGTGATCCCTAACCTTACCCTTGTTAACCTTTAGAGAATCACCAAAGAAAGATTGAGACACACATTTATGCATGTGGAAGTCTTTGTGTATAGCAAACACATAAGATTTCCGCATTGATTTATTTAATAAAATTAAATAAATATTCTTCAAACATTGTTTGTGTGGGTTCTTCAATAGAATTTCCTAGCTACAGGCTATCCCTGATGAGGATGTGTTATGACTGCCATGCTCTTTGAGAACAAGAGGGGAAGCCAGCCAGAAGTCCCTTTTTTTCCCACCAGACTGCATAAGGAAAAGTACCTTTTGAGAGTTTTTCATCACCTTTGATGCTTCCTTTGCCATCATTTTGACCATGTTTGAAATCCATTTCTGTTTTGACAATAATGTATTTGTAATTGCTCTTATAGGGAGTGAAGTTTCACCTGACCTTCATCTGACCCAGCTTATGGTATTAGACAGGGTATTAGATACATTCCTATCCAGCAACAGCATCAAAAGTCTTATTAAAGCCACCATATCTACTGCTTTATCTACCTTAAGCCTGTTATCCTGTGTATGATTAGTCAGTGGAATTCAGCCACTACAATGATTAAGAAGGGAGTTCAAGGGAAAATCTAGAAACCAGTTGGCTTACAAATGAAGCATATCCACTAGTTATTGCTAATAAAGATTATAAGGAATGTGAGACATCTTTGTGTTGAAGAGACCATTACATTACACTGTGGTCTTGAGGGTAGATTCATCCTCCAACGCTTCTTTGTGGTTTTCTTTGTTTTGGGGCTTGTTTTTACCTTCTGAAGCTTATGTGCTTATGTCATCTGGGACAGATACTAGACTGAGCCACAGATCAAGTCTGGGGTAATTCCTTTGTCTCCTGTTTCTCATCATGTGGATTCTTTAATTTCTGACAGGGATCTTGGAGCATTTCTTGTCCCATCCTGCATTCCAGTGCTGTCAGAATGCATCTCTTCCTATGTAATTAAATCAACATAACTAATTAAATGTAATTATCCCCAGTTAAAATGAATGCATTACTATTGCTCTAATTTCATTGTCTTAAATGGAATTAAGTGAGACTGTGCTTTGAAGGCATTTTTCTTTCAATGTGTCTCTGTTCTTTTAAAAGAGTTGTCAGTTTTTATCTGGCAGTACGAATGAATGTTGTGTGGTGTGTTTCTTACACATTCCTCATGGCTGGTGTCATAGCAGGGGGATAGTTATGAGGACAGTGAATAGCCTGGCTCCATGGAATCCATGGAAATTTCTGCTGGCACGAGTAAAGAAGAAACATGGGGTGGGAACTTACTCAGTGACTTAAAGAAAGTCAAATAACTGGAGGTAAGGAAATATTAATGTCTGTTTTTTCTCAAGTTTCTGGCTGATAGAAGGAAAATGGAGTTGTTTCTGTTTGTCTACCCCTCACTCAAGGTGCTAATATACCTATCTGATTTAATGACTGGCTACTTCTCTGTTCTCCCTAAATTTACACCTGAGCATTCCTGCCCTGTCAGCAGGGGCACTCTTCAGGCCACTGTAACAGTGACCTAAATTGGTAGGAAGGTAACAATATAAACAGAGTGTATTGTTTTCTGTGTGTTTAGCTGTCTAAACTGGCTCAGGTTTAGGTCAGATCAGCTGAAGAAGTAGAGAAGAATTGCTGATGGAAGGGGAAGGGAAGAAATGGGGAAAGCCATTTTCACTGGCAGCTGTCTGTTAATTAATTAGTCTAATCTCTGTAGTAAGGTGAAGGGCATAACATTCTAAGCTGCATGGATAAATCCTTTCTGCATGTTGTCCCTGCCCTTGTACAGTACAAGTACTTTGGAGACCGGGCAATCAGGGCTAAAGTAGGAGAGATTATTTGTAACCTGAATCTGGTTTCCCAATCCAGTGAGCTGTGCATCTGAGATAATGCTGGGTTGACAGACTAAAGAGGTCAGTGCAGGGTCAGTTTGTGGCCAGAGCTGGCCTCTTTCTTGAAGGGCTTCCTGACCTGTGGTGACTTGTTGGCCTCTAGGAAACAGAGAGGTAACCTCAGGATGAGTCCTCAGAGCTGGGTGAGTACTGTATCCTTGAGTGACCAGTGTCCCTTTAGTCGCAGCAGCAGTGAAGGGAATGTGGCTTGATGTTTATGAAGTTCAATTTTGCACACGGACTTTTAGATCTGTAATGGCAACAAACCTTTAAAATATTTGTCATCTGTTATTCTATTTCTTCTTTACCAAGGTGACATCAGAATTGGAATGGCAGCCTTAAATTAAGGCTGGTTGACAGTTGTAAAATGTTCTAAATAATCACAATGACCTAACGGTTCTGGATTAAATCATAGCCATACTGGGAATCCTGCTGTTTGGGATTTGGAGAGTTAATCCAAGGATTTCACAGGATGCTAAAAATTTTAAGGTTTAACTCTGTTTGCTCATGAACAAGTTATTTGTGTGTGGTTTGGTTGTTCTTGTTGAAGTCTGTGCACACATACTCATGGTCAAGTAGACACTTTGTGAGTTTCACAGTATTTCCTACTGTGCAAATGTGAGGTGCTTATTGCATTGTGTCATGCCTCAGTAATATTCCAAATGGACAGGGTACTGGGGAGATGATATAAGAATATCACTGAAATAATACATGGAAATTCTTACTCCTGAGGGTTCTTAATGCTTAGCAATGTACATGGCTTCTCTTAACTTTTAATGTACTTGAAGCAAAGGACATAAATGCTTTGAGCAAACTGCATTCAGTTTAGTCTGAACTCAGTAGTTTTGTCTGCTGAGTGGTAAAACATCCTATTTATATTCATTCCCTGGTAATAACTGGTGCCACAGAAGTGTTCTCGGGTGTTTTTTAATAACCTTTTGAACAGATTCATGGAAGAGAGCAGAGAAGTTTCTTGTAGATCCAGATCCCTGTGCTAGGATAAAGGCTTGTTTAAAAGACTAGACATGGATGAACTGGGTTTACAGGCCACTTCCGAGAGGGATTTAATAGAGTGCACAAGTTCATACTGGCAACAGTTGCATTTTGGATAGTTCTGTGATGTGAGATTGTATAACTGTGGAAAAATGACTCTGATGTTCATTTGGGAAGGAGCAGCTTCTGCTAGTTTACAATGCTTTTGTTTCATGACCAGTTTTCTTCTGCTTTGCCTTTATGAGGAGGAGAAATAAAAATCAGTAGCTGAGGACTTCTACACTGCATGGCAAGAAAAGGGGGCACTCAGATTTGATACGGAAAATCCCATTAATGACACACCAAAGGGAACGTCCAAACAGTCCATGTTTAGTGAACAGTAAAATAGCTAGAAAGGATCAGACAGGGGTATTTGTCCTTGGTTTTTAAATACAAAGTGCTCTACTAATATGCTTCATGTATGTAATTCTCTAGGACAATTCTACAGCCCCAGCCTGTGCCTGACCATTCTTTTCTTTTTTTTTTTTTTCACTCAGAGAAATATCTATATCAATATAATTGCTTTTGTTGCAGCAAGAGATTCCTGTTGAATAGTTTCTTTCCATGTCTTTCTGTATTTTTCTAGGGCTTTAGAAGATTTTCAGTGAACAGGTGTTGTGTACTGTGAAAGTGACTAGGTTAGGGCATTTGTGGGAAGTCAGACCTACAGATTGAATGGTTTTGTGCAGGGATTTAGTGTATCGTAATGACCCTGATGAAGCCATGGCATATGGATCTCCTCATCTATGGAAAGAAGCTGTCTCCCACTGCAAAGGAAGCAGGTAGGTTTGTTATAAGACATTCAGAAGGCCTAGATTCTAAACTGATGGAAATTTCTGTTACTCTTTGGCAGACTGTGTGATCATAGATTCATGGAATGGTTTGGATTGGAAGAGACCTTAAGATCATCAACTTCCAAGTCTCTGCCATGGCAGAGGCACCTGTTACTATATACCAGGTTGATCACAGCCCCATCCAACCTGACCTTGGACACTTCCAGGGATATCCACAACTTCTCTGGGCAACCTTTTCCAGTACCTCATCACCCTCATAGTAAAGAATTTCCTCCTGATATCTAATCTAAACCTGACTTTGTTTAGTGTAAAGTCATCATCCCCTTGTCCTAACACGACATACACATGTGAAAAGGCCCTCTCCAACTCTTCTGTAGACCCCTTTAGGTAGTGGGCTGCTTCTGGATATCTCCCTTGGAGCCTTCTTTTCTCCAGGCGAAATACTCTCAGATTCTCTCGGCACAGGGGAGGTGCTCGAGCCCTCTGATCCTCTTTGTAGCCCTCTGGACTCACTCCAACAGGTCCCTGGTATTCTGATGGGAGCCCCAGAGCTGCATGCAGTAGTCCAGGTGGGGTCTCAGGAGAGTCAAGTAGAGGGGGAGAATCTCTCAACTCACTGTATGCATCTCATTTTTTTTTGTCAGATGCCTCCTTTTCTACCCTTCATTTGACTTGTTTATTTGGGTGATATAACTATTAAATTCTCTGTTGTCTGGACAACAGCTTGTTGTTGACAACCTTGATGTTAGCCTGTAAGCATTGCTGTAACATATGCAGCCAATTTACAGAGAAGTAATGGGAAGAAGATAAAAGAAGAGGAAAAAATCTTAATGCAAAAAATACATGAAAGAGCAAGACACCATTGTCTATGCATGTGTTGGAAAACCAAGGTTTCTGTATGTTAAGTTAAAAGTTTTCTTATTAATATCTGGAATTTCAAAGGATATCCTGATATAATGTCCAAGGCTTCGTGCTGAGAAAATGGCAAAGCTGGATTTTTTCCTAAAAGTAGTATTGGTTGATTCTGTAAGTAAACATATTCCTTTTGCTGCAGTGGTATAATTCTTTGTATTTACTTTGCTTGTAAGGAAAAGAGTTTTTAACTCCATAATGATAATAGTGGTGCACAATGCCTGATCAGGACAAAAAGTTGAAGAGCACAGAAAAAGCAATAGAAAAAAAGCCTCCTGGGATCTCTATGAGGTATGGTGGTATCTAACATTTTACTTTGAACTTCAGCAGGACTTGTGTGGAATTTACACTGGCTGCCAAAGCAGAATGCTTTAATTTGAAGTGCAGTATAAACATGACAACTGTTACTCTGGTCACAAAGTTTATTTACACCTTTGTTGATTTAAGGCATTCTGGAGAAGCTGTAAATTCTTCTGTATGTAAAATGTGGACACCAGGCAACACTAGAAAACTTTATTTTCTGTCAGTAGCATTGTTGCTTATTGTCTTTCTTTACACTTATGGAAATACTTTTATGTAACTATTAACACATGCTGTGTTTTTTTGTGTTTTTTTTCCTAGCGATTATTGTGATCTAAAAAGGTTTCAGTCTCTCTTAAGTGTTCAGTCAAGGAACCAACAGGTATTTTTCAATATCTGTTATTAAATGTGCTTTAGAATTATAATTAATGGTTATTATGGTTTCTGGCATATGTTTAGAACATTGTGTACTATAATGACTAAAGCACGTTAGCAAAATCTTGAGTAGTGGATGTCTTTCTTCTTGTCTCTTTCTCTTTTTTCTTGGCAACATTATACCTGTGTGGGACAAGTCACATTTAGAATGGGTAAAAGAGTGAAACTTCCTATTCTACTATACCATTTTTATTTTAATTTTAATAGGAAAAATCTTTATTTTGTATCTTGAGCAAGTTTCATCAGCTATTGTTGTCTATATTAAAGTAGCCTAGCAAATTGTTTTTCCTCTGTGCCCTTTCTCAATGTCACACTAAGGTAGACTTAAAGATGTGTGAGTAACAGCATGGGGGAGAGTGGTAAAGAATATAAAATAAGATCAGCATTTTAACCATAAACAATTTGTCTTTGAAGAAAAATACTTCAACTAAAAATATCCAGGGCTTAAATACCAACTTACAGGAGAAAGTCAAATCTCCTTCACCTCAACTCACTTAGTGAAACTTGTATTTGCCATTTGAAGCAATGAAAACCAATAGATGATGATGGGTGTGAGTCTTTGGAATCACAGAAAATTTTCTCCCTTTCAATTCTGTAAAAAGATATGACAAAATGACTAAAGCATTCATCCGTGTGAGGTAGAAGTTATGCACTTTCTACCTGGTTAGAGGCCTGGAATTGCTTCTGAGCAGGAAGCTGAAACATGTGAGTTGTACAGCCTGAAAGAATGTGAAGGCTGTGCAATTGTGGAATTGGGACAGGTAAGAAACACAGATAATGAGCATGTGTTGCAGATTTTCTTGGGCTTTGCTAGCATGAATTTAAAAAGGCACCATTCTTCACCTTTTACTTAGCTCTCTGTACTTGTTTTTCAGTCTTGCTTTGCATCAGTTTTCTACCACGTCAGTTTTGTTTTCCACTGGAGGTATGTGTTTTCTATAATAGCAAATTTTAGGTCTAAAGTTCAAGTCAGAGCTTGAGAAAAGGTACTTTTGCATGATAATATTCTCAGAAAACTTAAAATGCAGTGTTTGCCTCACTATCTCTTCCTTCCTTAGCTTCCAGCTATATACATTGAATGTGGTCAAACCAGTGTGACAAGAACTTGGCAAAATGTCAAAAGCAGTGAACAAAAGTCTAATGGTCAATGGCAAGAATCAACAGAAGCTGTTGAGCTTGAAAAATTTAGGTAAAAATAATTAAAAGCTGCTGATGACACTCATATGCATGAATATGAGATACCTTTATGTATCTAAGGGTATCACGTTGTTGAGATATTGAAGGTATTTGTATTTTTATGTATGTCTGTTACTTGTACTTTTTCCTGTTAATCCAGTATTTGATATGAGAATTACATACTTGTAATTTTTTAAAACGAATTGTTTATGTTCCTGCCTTTGTTAAGTTTCAACCTTTCCCACTCAGCGGAGTGTACTGGTGAGAGTTAAAAAACTCATTTTAAATAGTGATAGTTTCTTTATTTGGAAAAGTTATACCACTCTGACAGTCCCAAATTGTGCAGTAGACAGACTGTTAATGTCTGGCAATCTGAAATTGTGTTATTCTGTGATAACTGCTGATATAACACTTCTTAGTTTTTGTTGTTAAGTCGTAGCGCAGCAAAACTGTTGTATGGCAAGTTAATGTGCAATTCACCATTTTTCTTTTTTTCTTCCTTTCTAGTGTAACCCACAAGAATGAGAGAAATTTTAACAAGAATCCCAAGCGTCAGCTGTTTTAAGATATCTTTACAACCTTAGTTAAGGACAGACTTGCCTGCAGATCAGTATATGAAACACATCCATAACCAAGAAGGAGGGCCACTCTTTCTTACTTTCCATGAAGAAGCAAGATGCATGGATAGTATCCCATATTGTTACAAGTACACACCTTTCTCTGGAAATTACCAGCAGCACTTGTGATTGTTTTAAATAACCACTTGTGTATTGGCTTTGACTGGTTAGTGGGACAGAACAAGGAGGGACTGGATATATGATAAAACTTGCATGACCAAAATTCTAACTGCTGTGTTTTCTTGATCATTCATCTGTACATGATGTCTGTAATCTATGACTTGCTTTTCTAATTTATTTTACTGATTTTATTTGTATTTTAGGGACTGCTGCCTTTGTAGTGAAAGGCCAATGGTTTCCATAAAATTCAGATGATTGATGCCAGTTGTTTGTGTTTATTTGTATTTCTGTGTTATGTGAGGAAAAAGTACAGGACCTTACAAATATAGAGGGGATAGAGAAAGATATTTTCAGGGAAAAGAAGATATATTTTTCAGGATTTTTTTTTACTATACTTCTTTGCAGTGTATTGTATTTTCCTTTTTTTAAGCTCAAATACATGTTCTCAAAAATGTACAGAAGTTTAAAGATGGCATCCTAGAGCATTTAAAGGTATTAATATATAACTACTAGAGGAATCTAAACCACATAGTTTACTTAGATCTTTATTCAGAACCAACTGGAGAACTAGGGGTCTCTTCTTTGGTTATCTAAATGACAGTGAGTTTAAAACAGATTATTTCAGTGATTTTTAAATCTGGTACCTCTTTTTGCATGGGAACTCAGTACTTGCCAGTGGGAGGTCAGTGGCTCAGCTTCATTTGCAAGAAATCCAAGAATAGCTTACATTGTGATTTCCCTAGTTCTGTTTATACATTCTGACATATTTGGCTTATATTTTGGTTTTCTTTGGTGGTTCTTTGTGATAGCGATATGGCAAAACATGCCTCATGTATTAAGAATGAAAGCACCCAGGCAAGGTTGATGAAACAAGCATAAATTAGTAGATATGTAGATAAGCTGAAATATAGCCTGGTGTGTCTAGTAGTGTGTATTGTAAATGTAACTGTAGTAGAAGGGGCTCTCAAATGTTAATTAGGCTCATATCCATGGTAATGGATATTACCATGTCCACCATGGTAATATCTTCAGGCCACTTTAAACTCTGACGTACAAATTTTGCACACAGGTATATGGTTGTTGTTTTCTTTCCATGAAAGTTTTGTGCTCTTCTGAAGTGGCCAATTATGGAATCATAATGAAAAATGGTATTACTTTAGGCAGAATATTGGCATAAAAGGGCTGAGAGTTTGTTAGTATCTATTTGTAAAACATTTATTTTTATAAAAGTATTTTTAGCTATTGGCGTCATTCCCAACTGCAAATGATGAAATGGGAAGAGAACTGCCATGACCCGTACACTTTTTCTGTTTCCAAGAAACCTATCCAAACAAATTTTGTCCTCTCAGTTAAAACAACAACAAAAAACCACATGGCAAAGATGTCTAATTTTAGGTTTATTTTAAATAGGGAAATATATACTTTCAACAGGCAATGGAAATAGTGATTCCATTGCTGGCATTTTATGTGGGATTACTGCCCCTGGACACTTTCTGCAAACCTGATTTGTATTTTCTGCCATGTCTTATGCTGGTGAATCATATGGAGAAATATAAAGGAGGAAGTTCTATATGGAAATACAATCCTATTTCAAGAACACTTAAACTAAACAACAATTTATTTCCAACATAATAGAATTAGAGCTTTTAAAAGCCAGGATAGATTATGATAATTCAAAAGAATATTTTAAATACAGCTATTTTTACTTCTGTAGCACTCATATTTTTGCATAAGTGTATTTTGTGCACTGAAGTTTGCTCTGTGGTTTCTCATTTACTTTGCTCTTTTGGGCCTCAATTCAACCACAAAAAGTTTATATCGAAGTGCAGTTAGTTTGTTCTTAGAGATGAGTATGTACTTTCCCCTCATCAGTCCAGTGATAATAAGTGATGGCCGGTAATGCTCATATAATGTAATAAATTTATTTATAGCTGCTACTGTGTTTGAATATAAATGGTATTTAAATTTCTGTGGTATAGTATGTTGAACGGTTTTTGTAGCTCACTAATCATCTAGTCAAGTGATCCTGAATCAAGCTGCTTTATTTGAGTATTTAAACACTTTTAAATTGCATTTGGTTTATATTTTGAATATTTAATTTAGAAGCAATGGGTTAGTCAAGCTCCGTCCATCCATTTTCTTAGAGTATTAATCTGCCTGAGATTATTAATAATGGATCCATGGTACCAGGTCAGTTTTTCAAAATATTGTTTCTTGCTTGGATAAGGGGATGCATGTAAGTGTCATGTGTTCGAGTTGTGTTGGTGTTTGTGTGTAAAAACGTTTGTTCTTATGAATGCACATGTACATATATGCATCTATATATCTATATGTGAGGATGGGAATTGCAAATAAACAGATTTCAAGAGTGGTTTTACACCATTGCTGCATAACTTGCTCAATTTCTGTTATTTCTTATGTCATGTCTGTTGTTGCTGACCCTAGCAAAGAAACTGTAAATCTCCATAACAGATGGCTTGGTCATTGCTCTGAGCCCTAGACATGGTATTTGACTTTATCATAAAGATATGTAAAATTCCTATAATATAGTTACCGAAGGAAAAAGAACTTTTAACATTTCACCTCTTGTGTTTTTATTTATCTACTTATGATAAGTAATTCTGAACTATTTTTTGGTGGCTTTTTTTTTTTTTTAATTTTCCTGTAGGAAATGCTCCACAGTCTGGGTGGAATTGAAAATCTAGCTCAGGTAGAATTCCTCGTAGTACCTTTGTTCATTATGTTACCTGTCAGTTTATTATTATTAGAATGATATAGACTGTAAAAAGCAGTGTACAGATCTTTTGGTTTATAAAAAGAAGTGAGTCTGTTTCTCTGTTTTCACTAGTTTTCAAAACAACTGTCCTATACTTTAGCTGCATTTATCTAGGACTTGTAGTTAGGAGACTTAAATGCCTCCTGAAGTGGGAGAAGAATTAGAAAAATCAACATTTCTTTTGGTTCAGTCAAAAGAAACTGTAGACTTTTGAAGGGAGATGAGGAAAGTCAGCCTGCACTGCAGCAAATGACTTTGCAAAGGGAAAAGCAAACTGATAAAATAAATGTGTTTTTTTTTTTTTTTTTAATATCCAAGCAGGTTTAAACCTTAGGACTACACTACTATTGTATTACAGAATATTTTTTCATGAAACAGATGCACCACCTACAGGCTCTACCTGTGTAGAACAGTCTAGGAGGTTTATGAAGTCTGCAAACTTTTTTTTCCTAATGGTATCCTTTATTTTTCCTCCCCTACTTGTAGTACATGGAAACAGCAGCAAATCATTATCTTAATTACAGAGAAGAGCAGCAGCAGCTTGTTTTTCTACATAAGTAATATTTATTTAAGAAATCAGTATCTTTTTATGCATTGAAATGAAAGAGTAAATTGAGCTAGTTATGGTTCAAATAATTTATAGTGTTTTACTCTGTTATCTGATTGATAAAATAAAAATATTAGTGAGAAAGAATCAATGTGTGTCTTCCTTTGTTCCACAGATATTTTCCAAAAGCTTTCTGCTGTTAGAAATCAAAGAGTGAGTGCTGTTAGAACTCAACGAATGAGTTTTAGCAAGTGGAGCACATAAAGTAAGTGCTTTATAAAATTGCTAGTTTTGTTTAATTAGCTACTTAATAGAATAACACATGCTTTTCAGATTTGACCTAGGTGTGACTAAGTTCCTTACCTTGTCAGGCTTGTAAGGTAAAATAATCTGTTTTACAGATGTATTAATGGTATCATAAAAATAAGTTCTTCTCTGTAACTTAATTGGTCTGATGTATGATTATTGGCTGTTTGAGATAAACAGATTGCAAACATTTGGACTAAACATTTGTTCATATAAAAAGTAGCACTCATGTATACACTGTCCTGAGCTACATGTTACTATGATTCAAATAGTTTTGTATACTTTTAAAATGTAAATATATTTAAAAGTTTTCTTGCACAAATTTCTGATGTGGTTTTTTACTTGCAAAATATTCTGTGTCTAAATATTCTGTATCAACTCAGACATCCCTTGCTATACATTACCATCAGTCTAAGAATCTGTGCTTGACTATTGCTGGTTTGTGGCTAAACTAAGATACAGTTGAGATCCAAATTAGTATAACTAGGTTTTCATGATTCTATCATGCTGCAGAAAAACAATGGCAATTGTAATCATATAGTATCAGACAACCTATTTTTAGAGAATCTAGACAAATACGGAGTTTACTTTATTACTCATGAGCAGAAATACAGGCAGGTCCTTAAATTACTATGCTGTTTAAATATAAGCTGAATATTAACTTTTTACTTAAGGAGGCCTAATTTCGAGTTCTGAAGTGTTACACAAACACAAGTTTTTACAGTGGTGTAATAGAGATGCTTTAGCATTCAAAGAGATACTAATTGTAGTTTGAGAAGAAACATCCTTGCTTGTCCTACTGAGTATTGTACTGTATTCTAAGATTTTAGGTGTATATTTAAGTGTACTTTAAATGTATCTAAGACTATTAACATATTGTGTAAGGATTTGGTATCTTAATTTTTACTTTTCAATAAATATTTATATTTGTGTTTGAGTTTTAAAATAAAACAATATACTTTATCTTTACACAGAATCGTACATTCACTTAGCTTGTTTCAATTTTTTTCCAGACCCTAGTAAATTTGTTATCTGCCACAGACATCCATAAGTTTTTTGGTGCTCTTCTTTCCCTGACTAGCTCAGCAGAATGGTAAGTTCAACTTAATGTGCTATAATTAACAAAATCTTTTTAATATTTTCTCTTGACTCAATATTAAAACTACTTTTAATGAGGAAAACTTAAATGTTTTTAGTTTTATATTGAAGCAGTCGAAACTAAATAGAAACATTGGTCCTGGCAGCAGACTTCTTGTTCATGTGGATGGCTCTGCAAGACTGGAGTCACAGAATCTGTCTTTGCAGTCCTCATCCAGGATTCTGGAATTCCTACTGACTTCCTACATATAAAAATCTTTTGTTCTCATCTTAATATAATAGTGCCTCACAATAATCTGGTAGAATATTGTTCAATGTAGTAAACTATAAACTCATACAGCTAAATCCATGTATATGATCCCCCTTCTTATTAATTAGTGGTTAAATAAAGATAAAAAGGGGAAAAAATAGCAAAAAGGGGGGCAGAGTAACTTTCATCTATAATGGTATTATAGGAGAAAAACTGCTATTATTGATTTGCTGTCTCCCAGACTTCCCAAAACTCTGATTCAGTTTAATTTGTTTTTAATGTCTGTGTTAATTTAAATGATGTTGTACATACATTTTCAACTTCCATTTAACTTTCTTCATTGGATGTAATGTAGGATTTTGTGTTATATTTGGACTGAGCAAGAAAGAGTTTGGAGTATATTACAAACGTTCATAGAAATTGTGATTGTTTTTAAAAATGTACTCCGTTTTCTTAATTACCAGTAAGACACAAAATATAGTTGTGTCCTTATTTTTGCGCATCCACATTTACTTTTATTTTGTATTGGGAAAACTGGAAAATTGTTGCGCTGTTTCTCTTGACCCAGCACGTATTTGTGGCTTTAAGTGCTTGTGTGCACAATTTGATATTATTACTTAAGACTTGGGGAAAAAAAAAATCATCATAAGAAGGAGGCTAAAGAGCAATGTGTTTTTTTTAATATAATTTCCTCTGATATAAATGCCAGGAATAATAAATTTGTAGTCCAGAATGCAGGGAGATGATAAGCAAGATTGCTGAGAACTTGCTGGTGATATTACATGAACATGATTTTCTATCTAACAGGTGAGACTTTGTGGATTAATTATGTTAAAATAAATCTTGACTTTTTTGTTTAGGGATGTGTGTATTTAGAGGAATTATAAAATGTGCCACTTGAATATACCCAAGGTCAAATTCTGATACTTGTGTATTTTCAGTCATATACTGATGCAGCCAAATCTTTTCCAGCAGTTTCTTTGTAATCCATTTCTCTCTGCACTGATGGCCTCCAGTGCAGATGAGTTGCAATGTTATCATAAAGTGAGAGCAGTCACTTTTCTGGGTGCATCTCTTTGTTGCTCCTGGCAGACCTGAGTGGTTAGATGGAAAGCATGCTAAGCCCTGACAGTTCCTGGGATCCCCAATATAGATTAGTAAAATTGCAAGATCTAGAGCTGCTGTAGTTTATGCCAGAGGCTGAATCAGATCTCACATCCTCTATATTAGAAAATCATTAATGTTCCTTCAATTATTTAATCATCTCAGCTAAGACTGATAGCAAAGCATTACTGAATTTCAGTGAGAAGCAGAAAGACTTTCAAATTTGATAATATATCACTTATCACCTTTAAAATTCTTAAAAGGTTTTTAAATTTTCATGCTTAACTATTTCACACATATAAGGTCACTTATATGTGGCTAAAAATAGAAAAATTAATATATGAAAAGGTTTTGTTTAGTTTCTGGGTTTGAAAATTCTGGGTTACATGTCAATCAAAAGTTAGATGCAAGAGTTAGAATTTGAATGTAGACAGGAAGATGAAGTTCAATGTCAGTTAAGGATAATTTTAAATTCAGATATGAATCTGAATTCACATGTTTCATTAAACACAGATGGAGCTTTTTTGCTTTAAGTGGATTGGATATCCTTAACCATATTTTCTATGAGAAGTCCACCTTCATTGCAGTTAATGAAAGTCTTATAGAAACCTTTTAAGGTATACACCCAACCACTTTCTAAATACAATATTCAAACTATACTAGAGAAGAATGATGCATTTTTGTATTATCTGTGGAACTAGGCTGTTCGAGTTCCACAGATGAACTCTACAAGCTCATGCAGTCAGTGCTATTTGTACTATTAATGCCATTAATAAGAAGATGACAGCACATATGACTGCAGCCCACCTGGCCACCTCCTATCCTGGCTGGGTATGCCCGGTTGCCTCTGCTAGCAGCTGAACTCAAAGTAAATATAATTTCATCCCATTGTGAAAGTTTGGGCCATTGTCTTATTTTGTCTTTTAAACAATGACTTTAACCGGTTGCAGTGACTTTAAGTTGTTTTCTTTAACTTCTTTTATTCTTTTAATAGGAGATCTCTGTTCTTTTTTAAACTTCCTGTGTTTATTTTCCCTTTTCTTACTGACAATACAAAGTAATGATGGAGTTATTGTTGAAATTTCTTGCTGATTTTTTTAGGTTCACAGCAGAGTTGCTATGACTCCTTTGTGCAGAGTCATGAGTCAAGGAGAAAATAAAATGTATGAAGGAGTTGCAGTCATGTTCAATTTGCTCCGTGCTGATCACATCAAACTTCTATGGAGTATAGTTTTTAATCTGGTACAGGTTTGTGAAGATTCTGAGACTAGTGTGGAAATTTGGATCTGGGGTAGAATCAAGCAGCTCCTTCATATGTTACAGGAGTAGGTTTTCAGTCCTCAGCATCATGGCAATTGTACAAGACTGTTCTTTTAAGATATATTTGACCAAGCCCTGTTTCATCAAATAGCATCTTTGGCTTGTTCAGTTGTATGTGATACCAGCAAAATTTAAAAGACTATTTAGAACATAATGAATAATCAATATTTTTTCCAGCCTTTCATATTTCATATCATAAGGCATTTTTCATATTTTTAGTGTATAAACTAAATAATGAATAAGTAATAAATATGGCATTACTGTCGATTTAGTTTTCCTATTAATCAGACACCTATTTAGTGAGCTAGAATTGTGAATATAATTGATGAACATGATAAAGGAATTTTCTGTTTAAAGGTTTGTTTGCTTTTTCAAAGTGTGTTAGCTAATTTAGTGAAAACATACAAATTTTCAGAACTTTCAGAATGGTTAACAAAGACATATTAAGCCATTTTTAACACTGCTACTTGATTTTTTTTTCTTTTTCTTTCAGGGAAAGGCTCATCTGACCCTTATATCAAACTCTTCAGCTGGAAGTTTATCTAGTGCAAATGCAGCAGGGACAATCCAGTATCATCATTTGTCAGATGAGCTAAGTCCTGATGGGATACAAGAAAATACTTTCTCACTTAAAGCAAGTAGGTTTATAAGGTCTAATACTCTATTATGTCTTTACATACTCTTGTGCAAAAGGATTCAAAATATTACAAATTTGTAAATACTTACACCTGCTTTAGGAAGTAAGAGCATCAAATCTGATTTGTTGATTTTCAAATAAATGTGATACCAGCACTTATTTTCAAAAAATACGCTTTTGTTAGAAGGAAGCAAAGCATAAAGTATTAAGTATCTGGGAATCATATGTATTTCTTCACCTGTAAAAACAGTGACAAAAAATTTATTTAGTTGGTTAGTTTTGTGTTTAGCATGAAATTATTTTTATTTGATCATATATTTCTTCACTATTTAAATTTCCTATGATAGATCGATGTGGTGGCGTGTTTTTTATTTAATTTGATATTTGTTAGTGTTCATACCCCCCCCCCCAATCTCCTCCTCTCCCCAGTTGTCAATCTTCCCTAGCTCTTCCCTAACCCCCTCCTCACCAAGATGTCAATCTTCCCTTCCCCTGCCCCTTTCCCCAGAACCTTCCCTGTCACTCCTCCCAGCCTCCTCCCCTGTTTCCAGAGCCTTCCCTGTCTATTTAGTGAGGCTCAACATCCTATTGGTTACGTTGTATTACTCCACTCCCCTGTTTTCCCTGATAGGTTTGTGATATGTTAGTCCTGCCCTAAACTCCTCCCCTGGTATTCCCCTATTGGTTGTTGTTCCTAAACCCCTCCTCCTGAGTTCTTGTATAAAACCTTTGTTCACCCTCCCCGGAGGGTCTTGGGGCTCACTAAATAAATCCATCCTGTGCACCCCCAAGTCCCGTGTCGCCTCCATCTGTCCCTGCGCCAACAACTGGGACTGCAGAGCTTCACAGGGGGATCGGCCGCCCGTTCTCTTCCCTCGCCGCCCAGCACGCCCACGCTCGGGACGTTGTGGTGAGAGGTTGCGGACCGCACCGCAACAGATGGTAGCAGAGGATGGTTCCCTCCTTCGTCTTGTAAAACAAACGGGCAAATTCGTGGGGGCGCCCGCCTCACAGAAGAAGGAGGAGGGAAGAGGGACATCTGCGGCCGTGGAAGTTCTGCAGGACGCTAAGAGGAGCCGAGCGCCGAGCGACCTAAAGATTCGACTCCGGGACCCTCTCTGCCCTTGCCTCCGCGCTCTCTATCCCTCCCCAAATCAGCCGTTCTGCACTGGGGCAGACGTGCTGCCGGGGCTTTTAGGGGTAGACCTACCCCAGGGCAAAGAGGGCGGCTTGGCAGCAGCTCAAGGGAGCCTGAAGAACGGACGACCGAAATGGGAAAACCATCGGTCGCGGCCTTGAACGAGACCACCAGAGGCCGATAGTGGCCGAGTCCAAGGCTTCGGGGACGAGCCTTGGATGCAGCCGGAATCGGCTGGACCTGCCTGCAGGTCCCGGGAACACCCAGGCCTCTGGAAGGGCCAAGCCGAAGAAGGAACGTCCCCAGTTCGGCGCGACTTTACCATCTAGACGAGGAGGAGAATCAAGCCATCACCACCCGGGCCCAGAGGGTAAGGAGGGCTAGACGGGCTTGAGGACGACCGAAATGGGAAAACCATCGGTCGCGGTTTTGTCAATCCCGACGGGTGGCTGGGTTTCCCATTTTTCTTTTTGCGTTTTAACCCTCGCCCGTGTCCAGACGGGGACGGTTTTCGTGTACGCCCCCAGCGGGCGAGTGGGTTTTTCGTTTCTGGGGGGGAGGTCCCAGGTACTCCTCACTCAGTCTTTTATGGGGACCCATATTTGATCGCTTTTTCTTTTCTTCGAGAAGTCGTCTTTTCTATCCTCTCCTCCCCATTCTGGGCTGGACAGAGGGGGTAGAAAAGACACAGAAGGGACAGAAATAGAGGAGGTGACACGTTTACTATGGGAGGGTTGATAAAATCTTAACCAGAGCCCCTTACACCCACGCATTGCGCCGATATCCAGCTGCGTCGGGCTCCCCTCCTATAGATCTTTTTAGCTTCTGTGAAGCTTCCCATACCCCCATCCCCTCAGACTTCCCTAAAAACTTTCCCTATCCTCCCTTGGGGATGGCAGCGTACGAGCCGCCCCAAGTGCCCTGCTGGGCATTGTTGCCTTCCCTTGGAGGTGGTGTTGACCGCGCTGTCTCTGAGGGGAGGCACAGTGCATCCAGCACCCCCTTCCAAGATGGCGCTGGCCACGCCACTTGGAACCCGTTTTCCCGCCGTGATCCTTCTTTTCCGCCCCTGGTTTCCCGCCAACCCCTCCCCTTCCTCAAGGGCCCCGGCAATCAGAATTGTCGCGAGGCTAGTCCCTGTTGTTGGGAGGCGGGGCTGGATACTCCCTATCCTTCTTCTGGCTCCTCCTCTGGTGGGACGGATCGCTGTCGAGGACCTCCCATCAGAGGACCCTCCTTCTTAGGAGATCACTCCCCTTCTTGGGAGGGGTCTCCTTTGGGAGAAGGTGGGGCTGAAACCCCGGACTGGGAACCCGCCATTTTGTCCTCCCCCTAAGATGGCGGCGCTCTGGTCCACCCCTTACCGATTCCCTTTAGTAATCATGACAGTCACTCATAGAGTGATTGTCTGATTCCCCTATCCCACTCCTTAATATACCCTACCCAGTGTTCCCTTTTATTTCATTATAAATTCCCCTTATTGTTTTTGATTATTTTTGGAATAATTTATTTGTTGAGTTATATTTTATAGAAAGAATAATCACTCCATTTAAGTAACACACGAGATAGTATGTCCACCATATGAATAAAGAATGAAATTAGACAGACCGTGTCGCCGCTCGCTGCTTCAACTCTGCCATACGAACTTCATGAAGCTGAATATCACCAGCACCGCGACAAGTCAAGTTTTGAATCGAATCAAGTTATGAATCTCGCCGAGTGTTACCCGTGTATCGTAATTGTAATTAATTTGTACTTCTCTAATGTTCTTCAACTTATATTCTTTTATTAACTTGTAATGTTACTTTATAATTTTGCTGTATCTTATATATGAAGTTTACATTATTTGCTTATTGTATTAATTTTCTTTCAATGTCAGAACTCTCCTTCCTTTTGTAAAAAGAAAGGGGGAGATGTGGTGGCGTGTTTTTTATTTAATTTGATATTTGTTAGTGTTCATCCCCCCCCCCCCAATCTCCTCCTCTCCCCAGTTGTCAATCTTCCCTAGCTCTTCCCTAACCCCCTCCTCACCAAGATGCCAATCTTCCCTTCCCCTGCCCCTTTCCCCAGAACCTTCCCTGTCACTCCTCCCAGCCTCCTCCCCTGTTTCCAGAGCCTTCCCTGTCTATTTAGTGAGGCTCAACATCCTATTGGTTACGTTGTATTACTCCACTCCCCTGTTTTCCCTGATAGGTTTGTGATATGTTAGTCCTGCCCTAAACTCCTCCCCTGGTATTCCCCTATTGGTTGTTGTTCCTAAACCCCTCCTCCTGAGTTCTTGTATAAAACCTTTGTTCACCCTCCCCGGAGGGTCTTGGGGCTCACTAAATAAATCCATCCTGTGCACCCCCAAGTCCCGTGTCGCCTCCATCTGTCCCTGCGCCAACAACTGGGACTGCAGAGCTTCACAGGGGGATCGGCCGCCCGTTCTCTTCCCTCGCCGCCCAGCACGCCCACGCTCGGGACGTTGTGGTGAGAGGTTGCGGACCGCACCGCAACAGATCAATACGAATCATATGATTTCAAAGTGGTATTTTAATGACTTCTAGTCAGGTGAGGATTCATTTTTAGTTATGGAGCAAATTCCTTTTGGAGGAGACTTCTCAATAGAGTCAAATGGCCCTAAATGTTACTTATGAATTTTTATTCTAGCTTGTTGTGCTGCAGTCACTGAACTGGTGCTCAATGAGACTACTGCTTTCCAGACTGTACAGGTAGGAAGATTTTATTCAGTTAAGTAAGGCATTATAGTTTATAATTTCACTTAATTGTTGTTCTTTGTTATCATAATTTAAGGAATTGGAAATATACCTGTCTATAACTTTAGTACTTCTGTTTCTTTATCATTTTACACACAGAGATATAGACACAAAGGTTATCAACATAGGTGTCTGGAAGAATAAACAGCTTTATTCAGACAAGGTTCATTTTGGCATCTCTTACCATGCTTTTGTCATATTCAAAATAGGATAGTAAATAAAAGTAATCACAGAATAAACTGAGAAATGCAAATTCTGAATTTCTTGACATTTAGTACAAAAAACTATGCAGCTGAAAATTGACATGTTGCTGTTTCACAAACTTTCTCTTTTCGTAAGAGTGTGATATTTCTGAGAGAACTTCCTGGCATTCTATCTTCAGGGATAAGCCATTCTTAAAATCCCTGGTTGTATTCCAGATCTGGTCAAAGATATAAATATTAAGGGCATTAATATCAGCCAAAAGCTGTTAAACTCTCAGTGTTAAATCAAAGTCTTCAAATTAGCTTAAAACCCAACTAGAGGTATTCTTGGAGAAACTGAGAGACTAAGAACCTTAAATATGAACAGGAAAGAAGTTTGTGTATATTTCAAAACCATTGGTTAAGAGAAAATAAATGAAAGTAAGTATAGAAAAAATAATTTTTGTGCACCAGAATTGTTAATAAACTGTACTGAATTAGACAACTTTTATGTAAACAATATAATGATATATTTTAGGCTGAGTCTGATTTCAATAAAATAAAATATCACTTGTTTAAATTAAATGGTTTAACAGAGGGGTTTTCTGCATTGCCCCAGCAGTGCATGGTAACTGTTGTGTCAGTTAATCACTTAAAAATTAATAGTACAATATGCAGAGCTGAAAAAGGTGGTTCAGACTTAACTTCTTCTGCTCTTTATCTTAAAAGACACCAGCCTCTCCATTTGTGTAAGCACCAGGCAACATCCCCCCTTTCAGATCAGGGCATAGCCACAAGCATGTTCATTTCCATTGGAGTTCCGCCCTACAATATCACTGTAGTAATTTTAAATCCTACCTCTTTCTTTTTGCTAATATAACTTTGAGAGTTGCATAGTGAGCAAGGTGAAGCATCTTACTTGGGTTAAAAACAGAGGAAAAAGGTGTACAGCTTTTTCAGTTATATGCCAAGGAGGTCAATCTGAGTAACCTGGAAAGGTGTATATCATTGGTGCCAAAGGGATCTTGGGAACTTTTGCTTCTGCTGTAGCTGCTCTCTGTCTGTCTGTCCTCCATCCTGGTCACAGCCTTGGCAGCAGTCTGCAGTAATTCTGGTAGCAGACAGACTGTGTTTGACTCAATGGCTCCACTTAAGTGTAACCCTGGTCTAAACTTAATTCTACCTTCATGAGCAGTAGAAGAAAACATCAGGAACTGCAGAAGGGCCTCTGCAGAGCTGACACATATTCCCTTCAAGTCTGCTAAAGAGGAGAGAAGTCTCCCCCACAGACCTTGTCAAGTAACTGGGGGCAGTACTCCAACTAAATCTACCAGTGCCCATCTATCACACCTACAAAGTGGATAGAGTAGTGGAGGATACATGGTTGCATGAAAATGGAAGCTGAATTCAGTGTGGTTTTCACAAAATCCTAAAAGCATGAACAGACTTCTCAGGCTATCGCTTTTGGTGTTTCTCCAATTTATTTTTATTGAGACTTGAATTTTGTTCCTGACAATTTAAAATATGGTGACAGAAGATCTATTGCTGCAATTTCCTTCACCTATAGAGACAGAAGCATTTCTTCTTTATATGTTCAGAGGCTCTCTTTGTGTTATCAGTTTAAATGTAACAATGATTTAATTCTTATACATGTTAAAGCTTATATTTTAGGTGTGCAACAGGATGTTGAGAACTTGTCCATTGCTATTAGCTTCTGACTTATCTAAACATTGATTTTTATTTGTGGTTTGCATGCAAAGGGGCACTACTAATGCTGGCCTTTTTCTGTTTTCAGGCAAATACAATATATACAATAGCAAAGCTAATTTTACCAGGCAAAGAAAGGAATGCTGAAAAAAACAGTTTAGTACAGGTTACTCCCTTTATTATTGTTGCATAATGAAAGCCACAACAGACCCTGAAAACTTTTTATGAATTAAAGTTTATTTTTAAGTACAGTACAAATAAATCAGATTTTGTAATCCCCTACCCCAAAACAACAAATAGCTCAGGAAGTGAAAGCTAAATAGAGACTCAATTTCTGTTTTGATTTATTTTGTTTCTGGCACCTCATATAGTGTAAAGGAAAGTCAATATTTTTCTTGTGATAGCCTCTATTTTTCAGGCTGTCTAGCATCAGATCTTCTTTATAGAGCCTTGATCTTCATTGAAACTCACCCTAGACTTGACAGTCTACTAATATCTGTTTATTTCTGGCGCATTTTGTTATGGATGTTAAATAAAATACAAGAAGGCAGCGTATGAAATAGAGAAAATTTAAGTGTAGAATAAATATAGGTCAAGTAAGCATAGAATGACTCTTGGTTTTGCATGTCACTACTCCCATAAATGTACTGGTTTGAGTCAATTTAGGCTAAAGGTTATCAGTTTTATAATGCACTTCATCTTAAGGATAAGATAAATACAAGCCTTCCTGGAGGGTAGGTATATGGAACTAATATGCAGTCTAACAAACTGGAGCATATGCTCAGTGTTCTTGCCTCACACTGCTGTAAGGAGCTTAATTTGTGCCCAATGAGATTTTTAGATTCCAGCAGAATGTGTGGGAAATAACTCACAAGAGCTACTAAGCAGCTGTAGTTGGGTTTAACATGAGGCCATATGAATTAATAATGGACTTAATGATCACATATGAAAACTAGGTCTCTTTTGGACAAGAAGTATATTTGTATGAAACCTTGTTCAGCTTCTCACACTGCTACCTGTATTGCTTTTAAAAATGTTACTGGTGTGAAATACAGTTGCAGCTATTGGAATATCCTGTTTGAGTTTTACAGATATTTTTCTTAGAATACTTGCAATGCTGGTGTGGTTTCTCTACTGCCCCATTGTGTGTTTTTCAATGATGAAATTTTCAGCTTTTTTCTGCCACGCTACCTTAGTGATCTTAATTCATGACTATTTTTGTTTACTCGGCTATAAATGTGCCATATCATTGAGTCTTGACAAACAGAGGTAAGGATGAGTTGCATCAAAGCATACATATTAACCACCTGCCAGTAGCTGTTTTAAAGAACTTTGTACTGGAACTAAGGTCTATGAAGAAGCTGAGATACATAAATTTGGGGTAAAAAATTGAGTAATTTCTTATTTTCTGTCCCTGTTAGAATTTATGGTATCCCACACTGCATTTTTCAGAAAATTGTTTTTTTACTGCAACAGTACAAACCCACTGATTACAATTACCTTTTTCAGCATTGGAGAAGAAAGCAGGTCTCAAGTCTTGAGCTATCTGCAGATGAAAAGAGATTATCAAGATTCAGGTATGCCTAAATGTGCTGTAGCTATTGTCACCACTTTTTTTAAAATTCACTTTTCCCCCCTAAATGTCCTTGTGTACTTTTAAAATGCTGGAGAAACTTAATATGTTTTTATTCCCTTTGTTATCAGGTTAATAAGATATTCTGTCATTTAAATACAAAGTTTGACAGTGTGTAAGGTATCAAGGGGACTCTTTGTTGTTTATCAGTGACTTTTCCACGTGTCAGGAATCTCTCATTAACTGAAACACTTTTCCTACTGTAGTAATATGTTTTCAGAGCCCTGAGATTTCTCTTCAGTATGGAAAGAAATCAACATATTTTTGAAAGGTATTTTAACCATATGTTTTGTGAAACTCTTTTAGGATAGCTATCAGAAGTCCAGCCAGAAAGAAATATTTTCTAAATGCCATTTATTTTGTAGTGGGCAATTTTTGTCATATCCACAGCTACAGATAGTTATCCCTGCATTGCATCCAGTGCCAGCCTGCCAGATTAGGTCTTCACTATTGGGACTCCTGTTGTGTGCGTGCCAGACAACCTACCTCTGTGTGGGCTCCTTCTCCCCCTATCAATCAGCCTTTTATATATGTTGAGGACAGATTTAACACTGCTGGCAATAAACATACTTTTAAGATTAGCACATGCAATTCACAGCCCTGGACAGTAGCAATTAACTGGAAGCAGATAATTTTTTCCTTTGAGCCCTCTACTCCTTCACCATGGGTCTGACGTTGCATCACGCTATTTTACTTAGGAATGTTACTGAAAGGTTTGGATCAATAAGGAGAAAATGTTTTCCATCAATTACATATTTTTACTAATAAGATGACCATTTCATCAGGTTGGCTACAAAGGCCATGTGAAATCTTACAGTGAGATTTGTGGCATTAGAATAGTAATCAGAGTGTCTAAGAGGTCTGCCTGTCACTACTGTTTCTGTATGTTTTTATTATGTATCATAAATTACTAAAATTCTATAGATGACTTTTGTGTTATTTTTAAAAAGTGGATATTGTACTGAAAGTGCCTCAGTTTATAATGAATTTTCATGGTTGGCGACAAATTTTTGAAGAATCTGGACTAATTTACTGTGTTTTGATTTTTCCAAATGCCTAATCTTTTGCATTTCTACTTATTCCAGAAGTTTAAAAAGAAACAAAACTTTAGTCAAGCATCTAACTAGTAAATCTGACTAATAGATTGTTGCCTCTTTTCTTTTGGCCTCTGCTTTTCTTAGTCCTTTTCATCTTTTAGACTAGGATTCTTGGACAAAAATTCTAAGATGGATGTCATGATTCTTTAAATGCAGACAAATGTTAATCCTATCACTTAGTGCATTGCAAGAAAAAACTCAGATACAGTGATAACAAGCATAAAAGAAAGTACTGTAAGAAAAAAAGTCAGGTTACTGGAAATTTAGAAGGTGCATTACTTTCAAGACTTATAGTTCTTTGGAGAATTGGCATTTATATTAATACCCAGCCAATGGGGGCTGAAGTCTGACTTTTAAAAGGGGCTTTAACTCCTATGTATGTAGTGTTCGAGGCTTAATATCTTATTGCATTATTGAAAAATAATGGTACTATATAGGAGGTTCTGAAGTAAGTTTTAATAATAAACACTGAAAAGTCTCTGCTGTAGATTAATAGCTCCTGTGTACATTGCTTCTCAAAGATACAAGAAAATTTGCACTTTTCTAGATTTTTCTGTACTGACTTATTTGAAATCCTTATTGATATTGGACATTATGTGCATGATATCAGAGCTTATGAAGGGTTGGTATCAAAGCTAAATTCATTAAAGGTAAGTAAAAACCTTAAACCTTTATAGTTTTAAGTCATATTCTTACACATTCTTAACACAAGAAAGGCATGAAATATTTTAAATCTATTTATTTGTAATTTAATTTATGACTAGGAGGATATATTGAAGCAAATCACTGAAATACTGAGAACATTAATAAGGCACCCACAAAGCATGTAGGAAATCATGCAATTTTAGAGCATATTGGCAGTGGAGCTTTTGGAAGTGTATATAAGGTAAACTTTTTTTTGCTATTATTTTACAGATTTGAGGGGAAGCTTCATGAAAAGGGTCTAATACCTGTTCTAGGTACAACTGTCCTTTGAATTTCAGTTGGGAAATGTAGATGTAAAAAGGCTTTTGAGGATCTGAGCTTGTTGCTAGTGTTTGCTGTGATTTTGTTTGTTCCATGTTGTACTTTTGAGATTAATCAGTGTATCTCTTAGGTTTCCTACCTTACTTTCTCTTAATTCCTTTCCACTAACAGCAATTGTCTATTGCAAAGACTAATAAATCTGAGTAAAACCACAAAAATTCAAGCATATTTCATCTGAAAAGCAACACTGGGCACAGATAATATTGCTTCAAACACAATGCAAGTTCAGAAGTGTACTGCTAACCTGTTCTATTGGATTGTAAATCTTCTACTAATCACATCATATGCAAAACCAAGCTGATTATATATTCTGTGAGAAAGGTTTGGACTCTGATAACTAATCTCGTAGCCATAATACCTTTCTTCCTATCCCCATCCTATAATTTACTGTACAAAGATTTTACCTTGTTTTTAGGTTAGAAAACATAACAGACAAAATCTCCTGACAATGAAAGAAGTCAATCTACCATTTGGAAAGAAAAAAAAAAAAAAAAAAAAAAAAAGAGCAGGTATGTCTCATGAACTCTAGTCTGATATGCTGGCAGGAGTGTGTCAAATTTGAGGAGTTTGGCAGGAGTGTGTCAAATTTGAGCAATAATCTTTCTTCCAGAACTGCTACAAGTTCAAACAGGCCTATACCCCTTTAAAATTAAAAAAAAAAAAAAAAAAGAGAGAAATAGTATTTGTATTTGTTTATCTATCAGTAAAACTAGATGCAATGTAAACATGTAGCAAGCATCATTATTCTTCTCTAAAGATCCAAAGTGTACAACTGAAATGCTAAATAGGTAGAAAAGCTATGGTGAGTAGTAGAGTGAATGATATAGATTATCATTATAGTTATCTACATATACCTGCCTTCTGAGTGATTATCAGGCAGTGGTTTCCTTATAGTTCTGTGATATAAATTGAGGAAAAAATCGAATTAAAAAGAGTAGAACTAGATTAAGGTGTATCTGTCTGTACAAATACAATTTTAAAGAGTAAAAATTAACAGCTTTTAAAATACATTTTTACCTCAAATACTCTAATTTAAAATTATTTCTGTATAAATATAATATTCTATTAATTTCTTTCATGAGATGACAGATTGTCATGGAGTTCATGGAGGGGGTGGCATTGGGAGAACACTTTCAGTCTTTGAAGGAAAAGCAACAAGTTTGCAGAAGACAAAATATGGCATATTTTGGCAAAGGCCTCCTTGGATCCTTCCTTTTGGCAGGATTTTCCTGCATGTAATTCGTAGCACCAAGTTTTTAGGCTAATAAATGTTGAAGTAATCCTTATTATATCAATCACTAATACATAGCTGTGAATTTAATGTGTCTTTATTTAGATTGGAGTTAAGAATCTTTGTGAGGCTCTTTCTGTTTGTTTTTAAGCTTTGTCTAGCTCTTCATTATTTGCATAAAGAGAAAAGGATTGTTCATTGAGATGTCACTGTGAACAATGTCATGTTGGGGGATAAATACAAAGTTACAATGATTAATGCTTGAAGACAATTTCTCAAGATCTGAGAAGCATTTCTTAACTGAAACTCTGAGAAGGTTTCAGATTCCTGGGTGTTGGTTATCATTCTTAGAAGCTAGTAAATTATTGCATTATTATGCTGTTGTGTGAAATCATTGAATCACAGAATGGACTGAACTGAAAGGGACTTCAAATATAATCTATTTTCAACGCCCCCCAGATCAGGTTGCTCACAGTCTCATCCATCTTGACCTTAAACTCTTTCAGGGATGGATGACCTTCTCAGAGGTTCCCTTCCCTTCCTTCACAAGGAAAGCCACTATTAGGTCACCCCAGAACCTTGTATTTTCCAGGCTGAATAAACCAAATTCTCTCAGCCTTTCCTCACAGGATAGGTGCTCCATCCCTCTGATCATTTTCTTGGTCTTCCTCTGGACTCACTCCAACAGGCTGATGACCTTCCTGTGCTGAGTACCCCAGAGCTGGAGGTGGCACTGCAGGTGGAGTCTCAGCAGAGAGAAGCAGAGGGGCAGAATCCCCTCCCTTGCCCTGCTGCCCACGCTGCTGTGGATGCAGCCCAGGAGACGTTTGGCTTTCTGGGCTGTGAGTGCCCATGGCTGGGTCATGTCCTCTCACCCACCAGCACCCCCAAATCCTTCTCCACAGGGCTGCTCTGGATCTGTTCATCTCCAGCCTCTGCTGATACCAGGGATTGCTCTGACCCGGGTGCAGCACCTTGCTCTTGGTCTTGTTAAACTGCGTAGGATTCCTGTGGGCCCATTTCTTGAGCTTGTCCAGGTCTCTCTGGATGTCATCCCCTCCTCCAGGTGTGCCAGCTGCACCGCTCAGATTGGTGTCATCTGCAATTTGTTTAGACTGATCCCTCAATCCATGTCATTAATGTATATATTAAATAACACTGGTCCCAGTATGCAACCCTGAGGGATACTTCTTGTCACTGGTGGGACTGAGACATTGAGCCATTGATCACTACCCTCTGAATGCAACCATCCGACCAATTTCTTATCCATCTAGCAATCCACTCTAATTACTGTTGAGGGGAACCATGTCGAAGGCTTTTCAGAAGTCTTGATAAATGACATTTGTAGCCCTTCCATTGTCTACTGATGTAGTCACTTCATAGAAGGTCGCTAGGCTGGTCAGGAAGGACTTGCCCTTGTTGAAGCCATGCTGACCATCTCAAATCACCTCCCTGTTCTATGTGAGCCTTAGCATAGCTTCTAGGAGGATCTGTTCAATGACCTTCCAGACACAGAAGTGAAATAATTGCTAATGCAAATTTTGTGTCATCAGCCATGGCTATTTTTTTTTGCTGCTATGTATGGTAAGTATGATGGAGATGATTTAGCCTTAAAATATTTAAACTATAGTTATGCTTCAAAGTCTGGTTTTATTTAAATTAGCAAGAATATTGAAATAACCAGATTAGACAACAAGTGCTAATGAACATAAAAAGTATAACAGCTGTCTGTTCTATTCCAGTTCTGCCACGAAATTGTTTAGCATCCTTCAGTTGTTCCCAGATCAGCTGCAGTGAGGTGCTATTTGTATAAGTCTGTAGTAGTGAATATTCTTGATGTATGCTTATGTAATCCCCACAGTGTGGAGGAAGGAGCCTAGGCAGGTTCCAGGACAGATTTTAAAAGCAATATGTGTGTGAGCAGTACAAAGCATGGCATAGTTTTAGTCTTTGAACAAATTAATACAACCTGGTACACACAGCAATCCTTCCAGGCAATTCACGTCCTGTAGTTTTCAAAGTTCTCCAAGAACTACTGTATGTTTTCTTGCTGCTCATGACACAGAAGAAAACAAACAATTTGAATGCTGCAGAATTGTTGTGAGAACAACAATTGTTGTGAGAACAAGTCGTTATGCAAAACTCCATCTCTCTTCTTTAAATATAACAGTAAACTGTAGACGCACATGCACACCCATCCAAAAAACACTCAGCTATAAATATTTAGCCACTGTTGTTCCGTAGTAAATGTTTTTACCTCAAGGTCTACATATTTAAATTTATTCCTTATGAAATTGTATGTGCTAAATCCCCATAAATTCTTAATAATGATGCAGTTTTGAAATGATGTGATTTAATGGTGCAATTGTCCTTGAGTAACGAAAATAAGTATTTCAAATAAGATTTTTAAAGTCTCATATAATTGTAATTTATATCAACTACTGCCACTGAGGGGCACTCTTGTCTCAACAACCTTTCCTTATTTTTAGTCCATTCTAAATATGGAGAAGTCTAAATGTACTTTCAAGTATAAGCTCAAAATTTCCCTTGAAAAGCATTTATAGTTTTGTCAAAGATATATAGGAGTTCAGGCAAATTGGAAGAAGAGAAACTTATGTGGATAATTTCTACAGCAATTAGTTCAAAATTATTGCAGTATTTAAACAAACCCTCGTTTTATTTAGTCCTACAATTAGTACAAGTATAGTACCTATTTTTGGGGAGAGCTGAAGAACTTTTATCTATTGTTTCTGAATTTTATTAAGCCTTGCTTTTTTACAACTTTAATGAAATTAAGAACAATTTACTTTCTCTCTAATGATAGTTAATATGTACTTTATAGATTCATGCTGTGGTATTGTTCCTAACTCATACAGTCTGTGTATGCCAAAGACTGGAGCATTTGTGATCTTAATGATTATGTCTCATAAGAGTTGAGGATAAATGTCCATTTAGTCCATTTGAAGTGTTCTTGGTGAAAGTTTGAACTGATTTTGGTTGGAATAGAATTAATAGTATTTAATCTAAGTCTATTCTCTTTCAGTTTGAAGCCATATCCCCTTGTTCTGCCACTACAGGCTCTTGTAAAAAGTCCTACTCCAGCTCTCTTATAGTCCTCTTTATGTACAGAAAGGTGCTCTAAGTTCCCCCCAGAGCTTCTTTTTCTCCAGGTTGAATCCCAACTTTTTCAACCTTTCCTCACAGGGAGGTGCTCCACTCCTCTAATCCTCTTCATAATCTTTGGATTGACTCGAGTAGGTCCATGTACTTCTTGTGCTGAGAACTCAAGAGCTGGACACAGTAATTCTCTTTCTTGTGGATGGTACAGTGCTGTGTTTGGAATTTAGCATGACAGTAATGTTGATAACACACTGAGGTTTTAGTTGCTGCTGAGGAGTATATACTCTAAGCCAAGGATTTTTCAGTTTTCCAGGGTCTGCCAGCAAGGAGCAGCACAGCAAGCTGGGGACGGGGAGTATATGCAGAACGGCTGACTTGAACTAGCCCAAGGGAAATTGCATGCCATGGAATGCCATCCCCAGTACATAAACTGGGGCAACTTGGTCAGGAGGTGCCAATGGCTGCTCATGGACTGGCTAGGCATCTTTCAGCAGGTGGTAAGCAACTGCAGTGAGCATCATTTATTTTTCTTGAGTTTTATTCTGCCCCACCTTCTTTTAATTACAAATGCTATAAATATTATAATAAATTATAATGCTATAATACTGAAATATTATATTATTTTATTTTGTTTCAGTCATCAAACTGTTTTTATTTTACATTGACCCATGAGTTTTATTGCCTTTTTTTGCGATTCTCCTTCCTGTAGAGAAGGTGAGAAATTGAGTGTGTGGTGCTTAGTTGTTGGCTGGGGCTAAACCATGACAAAGTTACAACAAAATGTCAGATGAATGTGAAGCATATGCTAAAATGCTGTGAAATCTCTGAATTGAATTTATCCTGTCAGCTTTTTAAAAAGAGAAGGTCTGCTCTAAGATCTACTAAAAACTGTATTTCTGCATTTACAAGCTGCACACTGATCCTAAATAGAGAGAATTCAATTTTCTGGAGTCTTTCAAATCTGAAAACTGTCCTAAACTTGCCTTAATCTAACTAGAGTAGTGGACTACCTGTGAAGCAGTGTTGTGTGACTGGGTAAGTGGGATATGGCTGAAATTATTTTGCTTTATAAAAGAATCTTATAATACTACTCTATTTTCCTTAATCAGTCCTTCTGGAAATAGTAACTCCTGTTAATCTTTTGCTATGAGAATCTTCAGGCTGACAGTTTAACAAAGGCAGATCATTCATCTGTAACTAATGTTGTTAAAAAATATTGTCTTTAGAGAGGTGCCTTAGTTTCAGACTCTTATGGTATATTTTGATTAAAAAAAACTAGTGAAGTGATTAATACACTTGAGAAAGACCTTTTAGAGATTCAGATTTAATTCTACAACAGCCATATCAATGAATTGCTTAAAAAAAATTCTTGGACTCACAGGCATTTCATACCATCTATATGAGAATGGAACCACTCACATTCCAAATCCCTTGATGATCTCTTACACAGATTCTGCTTTTATGTCGGTTGAAAAGGATAGGAGTGCAGAGTGGGAGACACTCCCACCTTGCTGTCAGAGTGGAAAACAAAAAACCTGCTAAAGAATTAGGATTGTTTGTCCTGAATTCATGGATAAACGTTCTACAGGTGGCCTTTGTAGAACAATTCCAGCAGAACTTGGTAGGCAGGGATCTATGGTGAAAGAAAACAAGAATTCATACAAAGAAATCTGCAACTGGCCTGGCACAATGCAAATTAAATTTGAGGGACCTCTTCTAGGGATGGTCTCTGAATAACATGTCTTATTGGATATCAGGTCTTACTGAAAAAGAAATACCTCAGATAATACCTCACGCTCTGGTGAGACCTTACCTGAAGTTCTCTGTCCAGCTCTTGGGTCCTCAGCACAAGAAGTACATGGACCTGTTCAAGTCAATCCAAAGGTTATGAAGAGGATTAGAGCAGTGGAGCACCTCCCTATGAGGAAAGGTTGAAAAGTTGGGATTCGACCTGGAGAAAAAGAAGCTCTGGGGGGAACTTAGAGCACCTTTCTGTACATAAAGAGGAGTATAAGAGAGCTGGAGAAGGACTTTTTACAAGAGCCTGTAGTGGCAGAACAAGGGGATATGGCTTCAAACTGAAAGAGAATAGACTTAGATTAAATACAAGAAAGAAATTCTTTG